ACTTCTTTTTAATATATCAAAAAGAAACAATATAAATCTACAAAATGCTTACCCATCATGCCTGGTGGTGGACCCATCATTCCAGGTGGAGGACCTCCAACTGGCATTCGTGGAGGACCACCTGGATGCATTTGTGGTGGTGCAGAAACTTGTCCTCTGCCTCCTGGTGTCATTATCTGTTGAGATGGACCACCAACACCTCTTACAGGTCCTTGCAACCCTGCAGGTACACCAGCAACATTAGCAGGCATACCTCGACCAGCAGCACGACCCATACCAGGGCCAGGTGCTGCACCAGGTATAGGTACTCTAGGCAATCCTTCTTCTGGAGGTGGGGGACCTTCCACCGTTAAAGAAACAATGTTTTCTCCTCTCAAGAGTACAAAGCCTAACACACGTTTATCTTCTCTTTCTGGTTGCTTTGTATTCTTTGGTTTAATTTTACGAAATTCTTCACAATCACCAAGTATAAGATTCATATGCTTATCAAAAGCTTTGAATGTGCCTATGAATGTTCTGGAGTCTTGCAAAATGATTCTGACTCTATAATTGATATGCTGTAGCATCTTATTATTTTTCCCAATCGTCTGCAAAGTAAATAAATATTACATATACAATCATATTAAAGATATATAAATGTGAGTAATGTAGTAGATGTTAATTTAATTCATCATTCATCATTAAATTCATCGTGAAAAATTTAATTTAAAAATGAAAACAATTCTTTTTATTGATTTGTTTTTATAGTTTAATTATTATTTTAATTACCAAGATAATTTGCAAAAAAAGAATATCAACTTTCCAATTCGTTTAGCATTTATTAAGTTGTGAATGGATTTATAAGGTTATGATGACAATATTCTAAACATTTAAAATATGTTTATATACTATTATTTTTCACTTACCATTTTGATACTTTTTTGCTAACACAAAAAATTAGAAACAAATTATTATGTATTACTTATTTCATATATTATTACAACCACCAAAAAATAAACGTCCACCGCTTTACGCTAGATGAGGTTATTTGTCCACGAATATAACCCTTCGTTGTGAACAGATGGTGCTACTATAGCATTCAACAAAAACAATGTGTATATTTAAACATATAATTCGAATTTTCCCTCGTAACGATGTTTATAGCTAGAAACATATAATGTAATAATTATTTATAAAAAATAAAATTGTTTAAATGTTCTGTGATACAGAAACCTGGTTTTCCAGGAAAAGCGTTATTTTGAAAAATTTGAAAAAAAAATGATTACATTTCCTGAAGGTTATTCCACAAGTACAGTCGAGGTATATCTATTTATATGTATATCTTGCCTATGGTAATACTAAAACTATTCGTTAAAAGAATGAATCATACTTGTTAACATGTGTTAAAATATTTGGTCATTTCTTGAGAATTTTTAGAGCAATACAACGTTTTAGATTTATAATGCTTTACAAGGATTTTCCACTTTAATATCGTATTTGATGGATTAGTGTGTACAATTTTTTCAGATGTCTTAAATTCATTTTTCGAAGATTGACGAGCACGTCGTAAACAGTTATTAATTTGATTATTGTTATCTTCTGCATTAATTTGAGTTACATCGATAATTGGCTTCGCATAATTTGCGGAGTCACAGGATATATCTTGGACAGGCTGAACGGGAGATGTTTCAGATTTAAAAGCATAATAATCTTGTATATAATCCGAAGTCATATATTGCAATTGATTCAAATTATAAATTTTCTGTTCGTTATTTGACTTAATTTCATAAGAACTTACAGTTTCAAACTCTAAAAATATGCAAAATTTATTATTAACTTTTTAAAAGTTATTGAAATTATAAGAAAGTTTAAACCTTTTCTCTTTAAAAATGGTTCTGAGACACAAGTCTGAGATTTAAACACTTTTTGCTTCTGACTTCCATTATTTCTGTCTAAAAATACTCTAGTACATGGCTTTGTAGAAGAAATACTTCGATTTTTTGTCGTATTCAAAGGACAAGGATCTTTGGGCAATCTTTCATGTTCTTTTAAATCTGGATGTAAACTACTCATAATTTCCATTAGTTCAGTTAACCTAGTATGGTAATCAGTAGACAATGTGCGTTTTTTATTTCTTTCATTCAATATAGTTGTATTTGCTTCAAAATGCAAACATTTATTAGAGTTTCTTAAAGGCGGAATATTTCGATCAAATTTATCAGAATAATATATCAACGACTGAGTTTCTGATGCAGTAGTATATATAGTGTTCACTTTTGACAATGAGTGTGAAGCGTCCTTACTAGAATTACTAGTATTGTAGTCTAAAGTATTTTTTGGTATTGAACACAGGATAAAAGGCACACGTTTTACAATAAGTTTTTCAACTACATAATCATATTCTTTAACATCATCGTCTACAATATCTTCTGAGGATTCTTTTTTACGAGTACCTCCAAAGCAACTTCGGAATAATCCGAAGCATTTACTTTTAGCGTCGGAAGCAGAACTGGCTGTCGATGAATCAGAAACTGCAATTTCGCGTGAACTGATGAATGATTGTAACTTATCGTTCATTTTGAAAATGTTTAAATAATTTGAAAATATACAATCTATTATTATACAATAGAATGTGGTTAACTTTCGTAATTAAAATGATTCCAAGGAGATTTGTAACTTAAAGTTTTTTGTTCCAGAAACATTGAAGTATTGTAATTATGGCGTTTATGTTACTGATATTTAATTTAAAAAAAGAGCAACATGTCGAAATTTAATTTAAAAAGTGTACTATTTAATTAAATATTTAATTGAATACACATATTTTAATGTCTATGTTCTTGAATTACAACTAAAATTTGGTACTCAACTTTAAATTGTCATTATTTACGGAATCATATGTTGTCTCAGAACCTGAGTTTAATTTCTGACTATAAAAGTTAGTATGACTAGCATTCTAAGTAAACAGACGTTAAAAGATTTAAATAATTATTAATAAATTTCTTAACTTGATAATTTAAAATGTCAAATTTTTCGATATATTTGTTTACTTTCTTCTTGGATAGATGGCAGTTTTGTTATTTTGAGTATGTTTGGTACATTTATATTCGTAATAATGTTGAGTGTGTTTAATAAATAAAAGTGGCGTTCTGTGTGGTCTTCTGAGTGTATAAAAATAAAATAAGAATTAATTTAAAAAATTTTTGTAAAGATATTTAAAATGACGACAAAAGTAAATCCATCAACTTCACCTTCTGTGGAATTAAGTTCATATCGTGATCAACATTTTAAGGTTAGGCATGTAATGTAATTATTCAATGTACTATCTTTTTAATATCTTAGAAATATTACATGTAATAAACATGTTTTAAATCAGTGTTTACAGTAACATATTAAATTTTGCTATTATGTAATTTCTTTTATAACAATTATGATTTACATTTTTAGGGTTCAAGAGCTGAACAGGACAGACTTTTAAGGAATTCCACAACTTTATATGTTGGAAATTTATCTTTTTATACCACAGAAGAACAAATATATGAACTGTTTTCTAAGTGTGGTGATATTAGGAGAATTATAATGGGTTTGGACAAATATAAAAAGACTCCTTGTGGTTTTTGTTTTGTTGAATATTACCAAAGGTCTGATGCTGAAAATTGTATGCGATATATTAATGGAACACGTTTAGATGACAGAATAATTAGGACAGATTGGGATGCAGGCTTTATTGAAGGTAGACAATATGGAAGAGGAAAAACTGGAGGACAAGTATATAATTTTTTTTATGATACAATTTTTTATATTACCATATTAAAATTTGTTTGTATTATATAATAATTTATACTTTTATAGGTAAGGGATGAGTACAGATCAGATTTTGATAGTGGAAGAGGAGGTTATGGAAAAATAATACAACAAAAAGTGACACCTATTTCTGATGGAATATTTGGCCGCTGAAATTCTATAAATGTGACTGTTTTCCTACACTTGATTTTGTATGTATAAGAAAATTACAATAGTATTTAGTTACTTGCAGAGTGTATAGCAATATTCAATCTGATAATGATAAATTGTACATACATAGGAAATAAGTAAAAACATATATAGTATAAGAGAAAATTATTCGTAATAACTGTAATGATGCATAATATGTATTTCATTTTTACTTAAATTTCATTTAATTATTATACTTTTTGATTCCATAGTGTGAAGTTCATTCATATAACACAATAATGAATTAACATAAATTAAAATAGGTCTTTTACATTGCATAATTGCATTCCAAAACAATTTGTATGAAATTTCCAAGATAAATTTAAACTAAAACTTTTTAAAATTACCTAATATATCTGTCCATGAATTTCGGCTTCGCAAACACTCAGCATCAGTAAATAGTCCGATGTTATTTAATCATGTTTACATTTTTGTAATAATAAAAGATTAAAAAATTGTAAGATCCTTGGAATGATGTATATTTTTAGACATTAAAATTATTAAACATTAAAATTT